AACTCTATGGGAGGTATTCAATGCGATAGCAGCTAATACAATGCTGGTGCATCATCAAATTGTTACATCTCCTGATGAATTTTCATCTACAGGTTGTGTCAGCCGGGTGTAGTGGAACTCAATTTGAAGCCGATGATGAAGGGATGTTGATGCCATCAAACCCTTCTTGATATCAGCCCACAATTCCCTTATAGGGATTGCAGCCAAGAAGCTCTTAAAATACTCTGTGCATGATTCCTTTCCTTTACACACAATTTCTTCTTCCATCGGAGTCTTTTCGCATTCATTTGGACTAGATGGTAGCTTCCGGATTGTTGTATCTTTGTCAAATTTTAGGAGATAAGGCTTGATTACACCCCTCGTAAAGCCTCTCACCCAATGTGTCAATGATATAGTAGGCATCCTGCTCAACCTTGAGGACAAAGAAGTGGTCATTCCAACTTACAATGCAGACGAAAGGATCACAATTACGAGACAAGTCTAACCCATGATGATTAATCTCCTGCCTAATACTGTCAAAAGAAATTGCACCATGAAGTCAGTCAAAATCCCCTTCTTCTAGGTCTTCTGGATGAAAGAATCCAATAAAAGACTTATCTGGGACCACTGAAAGAGGACGGATTTTAGCTTGGAGAAATGTCTAAGATCAAAGTGCTTGTTGGGAAATCGTTGTCTATAGTACTCCTCACAAAAGTTTCTCCACTCTAAAGATCCACCTCAGATCAAGCTGTCAAATTCAGCCTTGATTGGTCCTTCATATTGGTTAGATTGCAACCACTTAGCAATGACAGCAACCAGGGCTGTACAGGCACTCTCTCCTGCAGCTCGCTCACTCCTTTGATCAATTGAAGCAAAAAAGACTTGCGCTTGGAGCTTCATGTGCCCATCACGGCTTATTACTTCTTTTGCCTCCCAGCTGCCAACGGCAAATTTGTCATCCCCAAATTCAGAAAATGATGATCTACTAGTACTGGAACCTTCTTCCAATTTATTCCACTGCCAGAACAAAAATAGTTTTAGAGTGAAGTTTGAACTCGTATAACTATATTAAGAGGAAAGCCCAAGAAAGAAGATGCCAAATAAAGAAACAGAGGGAGATGGGGAGGGGGGGAGAGCAAAAGGGTTGATACGTACCCCAGAACTGGACTCATCAGAGGAGCTAAGCTGCCTGCTATCAAAATCAATGTCATCACCACCTTCTCCACAATCCTTTTTCAAGAGAGGCTCTGCTTTAGATTTAGGCTTTGCAGATATAAAACTTAGTTTCCTTTTCCTCCAAGCTAAGATTCCACGTATTGAACTCTGTCTCAAAGATTGTTCATGGTCTGATGCAGTTGAGGACTCAACATACAGAGATCCCATATCTTGTTTACGGTGGTTATAGTATATGCAACTCTCATCTTCAGCATTATTTATGGCATTAGAGTAAAATGATCCTCCAGCCTTGTTTGCATGCCCCAAAGTTTCATAATTGAATGGTAACTGAGCACTAGAATCCCCATTACTCTCCTCTGATTCCCCATCATTGTCGAGTGAATCTGTATCAAATGGATAGTTGTCCTCGGCATCTTCACTTCTGACACAACTATCATAATTGTTCTCTTCATGACAAGCCTTTATTGTCACTTGGAACCTTTTCACTTTTCTCAGACCTGCTTTAAGGACAGAAAGCTCATCTCTTCTTGGCGATAAAATTTCTAGAGAAGAGGGTGGGGGTGGGGCAGTCTCTATCACTCTCTGTGGTGCCTGTAGATGTTCTTGAATAGTTCTCAATTCCATCAAGTTGAGAGACAACTGCATTATATTTGAATTAGTGTCAGAAATGAAACAGCCATTAGCATAGCATACGGTCAATAACAGATGTTCGTCGTATTAACAGGAATGGACTTACATGAAGCAAGAGAGTGCCCTCGACAGTGCCATCGTGAACTGTTAAAGGAACATCAATTATGGCTTCTCTCTCCTTCGGCGAGGTTTAATGTAGCAGTTCCAACTAAAGAACCTTATTCCTTGGCCCTTGTTTCAACTATCAAGCCCTGAACCATTAGAAACAAAACTATCTTATAGCCCTGTACCATTAGAAACAAAACTATCTTATAAGCATGCATGCATAGACAAACATAAGCTCAGCTTTCTAGATTTCCTAAAGTCACAAACTTCACTCAACAAAAGCAAACATACAAGCATGTACATAGGCGTACGTAACCTCGATAAATTAAACATCGAGTAAAAGGTGACTTCACCTACTTAAATTGCCTAAAGCCACAAACTTTACTAAAAAAAACCAAACATACACAACAAAAGTACTAAAAATCATGAAAAAAACAAAGATGGGTTTCCCATTTTTAATCCAAGCAACCTGTTGAACTAACATACGCGAGTATTTCTCTATCTAAAACCCTACTCTTGACGGGGTTCCTTTAAAAGCAAAAACAAAAAAAAAGGGGGTTTTGCTTTTTAAAGACAAACAAAACCCCAAAGGGTTTTTAAGTAAAGTTTGTGTTGTCTTACAGGAAGAGGGTTCATTTTGGACACTTGAAGATAGTGTTCTCAAAGAGACCGAAGCAACAGTGTGTCCACAGCGGCACATATGCTTGTTGGTGATGTTGATGACCATGTCTTACTTGTTATGGTGCTCCATGTTTGCCTCCCTGTAGCTTCTCTTAACACTCTCTTCCACGTTTCTCTTTCACTTCTCTAAAATCAGAACAAATTTCAAAAATTTATTCTTGTGTGCCAAAAAAGAGATACAAACAGAGAGCAGAAGAAGTGAGAAGGATGTTTCATAACCCGATCCGTTTCTTCCTTTTCTTCAGATAATGGGCCTGTGGAGATTTAATTACAGAGGGCAATTACGCCCGATCCAACAGATAACTGGCCATGATTTACAAACAAATAAAATACCCTGGTTTTTTTTTTTTTTCAATTTCGACAAAACATAAAATCAAACATGGTTTTCAGCACCAGTTAATATCTGAGTTATTTTTTAATGTAAAAGAAATTATTTAACCACTGTTAGTATTTTTTTAATAATAAAATTTTTATTAATTAAAATTATTTTTTAACTATTGAAAATATAATATATTAGATTAAATATATAAATATATTTTTAGTTTTTTAATTTAAAATTATTTTTTAAATATTGAGACTATAACATATGCTATTCATAATAAAATTTACGTTTCAAATTATAAATTTATGATAATTTTGTAAAAATTAAGTTAAAATTAATTATAAAATTTAATTATAAATAAATTTAACTATAAAATATATGAGAATAAAAATAAAATAATTAATTAAATATAAAAAAATAACTCAAGTTTACCTATTAAATTTACGACTTAGATTATAAAATTAAAATAACCTAGTATAGAGCAAATTAAAAAAAAATACTTCAAAGTTTAATTTTCGGCTTACTCAATATTAAACATTAAAATTAAAAAAATAAAAGATAAACTAAAATCAGTTACTTAATTATACTATATCCAATATTGAAGATTAGAATCTTCTAAGGCCAATTAAAAATTAAAATTAAATAAAAAGTTAAATAAAAAAATTTGAATTATTAAAAGGTTAAATTAAAAAATAAAAACTAAATAAATAAAGTAAAAAAATGAAAAGAAAAAGGAAGCATTATTTCAATGAATAGTATTTTATGAGTGTGGCAAGAATAATACAGTAATACCTTTTAAATTTTAATAATTTTTTTATTATAAATTTAATTTTTTATATTAAAAAATAATTATTTTATTTTTGTTATAAAATACTCACTCAAGTCAGAAATATGCACAAAGATGAACAAAAATTGTCTAGATCATAAAACATTTGCACAAAGATGAACAAAAATTGTCTAGATTATAAAACAAAATACCATCATAATTTTATCAAATATAAACAATTAAAAACATGACTTCACCCAATCATTTTTAATATTTTTAAAGAGATGATTTAATGATTAAATAAATATTTTGATTTTCTTAATACTTTGAATTTAAAATTTTGGATAAATTCATATAATTAATTATTTTTTAATAAATAGGATAATGTGAAAGTACATTTTTAAAATGAAAAAAAAAATTATTGATCCGAAACTAAAAAAATTGCCCTCAACATGTAGCCTTCCATAAGCATGATAAGCCTTCAACTAAATAGGCCATGGCCCACAAAGAAAACTTGGCATGTCTTTCAAGGGCAAACATCAACCTTCACTAGCTCGCTCCCCATCCTGCGTCTCTTCGAGTTCCTCATAAATCGAAAAGAAGCAAACCAAACCAAAGTGAAATGAATTAACATATCAGATAGTGCAACGTTGTTTTCAAACAGCTGCTAATTCGTGTATTGCCGTGTTTCTTTTTGGATTACAGAGAGAGAAAGAATGAAACGGCAGCCACCGCCGGCTTACGGGGATGGGAATATGAACCCGTATGGAGGAGGTGGACAGAGAATGAGAGGAAATACAGGGGCAATGAGTAATAGTTATGGAGGAGGAGGAGGAAGGCAAGATGGGTACCCTAGTTTGGAGACAGAGCAGCATCCTGGGTATAAATCTTCAAAAGCTGAAGGGCAGTGGCAGTGGGACACTCAAATCAATGCACAAAAGTCATACCAGACAGAACCTTAGTTCATTTGAAGTGGGTGATATCGTGACCCTTTTGAGCGTAGTATAGGATACAGATGATCAAAGTAAGCTATGAACTTATTTACAATGTAGAGCTGTGAGCTGCGTTGATGTGTTAGGATTGCTGGTAGATCTATTGAAGATTGAATTATAGTCAAGATGCAATTGGGCATTAAAGTTTAAAGGTAAAGAATCAGAAAGTTGAGATTGATATTTGTATGTAATTTGGATGCTACGTGTGTGAACAAACTTTAGGATGCATGCTTGATAACCAAGAAAATTGTGGCTTTTCTAGGAGAAAAAAAGATATGAAGAAGTTTTATGAAAAAAAAGCTATGAAGAAGTTTTATGAATGTTTGTTCATGTTTGTTTCATTTTGCAGGTCAAGTGGGTTCTGGGGCAAGATCTTACTACCATGGGCAGCCACCTGATCCGAAAATGGGTCTAGGAAGTCAGTCCAACAAGGAAGCTGGCGGAACCCAGCCCCATTACCAAGATATGGAGCTTGGCTTTGAGGACAACTCATTGCCAATTTCTTTTGAAGGTCTTGAAAGGAAGTTCTTTGATGAAGTAACGAAATTGGCAAAGGAGCAAGGTGATGCTGAGGTTGCCGAAAATGCTAGGCATAGGGAGGTGAGACTTCTATGAAACAATTTCTTCAATTATCCGGGCTTTCCCCCCTTGTGAGCTGCAACTATATTAAACCTGGGCCAGTAAAGGCTCTTTCAGGGAGGAGAGAAGGGGAGGGGGGTTACTTTAAACTTCAGCTCGAATGACGCATGTGCATGATTGAAGAAGTCAAATAAATATTTAAACAAATTAATTTACAAAGAGCCAACTGTTGCTTAGTGTGTTGCAAATGTTCCTGCTTCTCTAACATGCCCTTCTCTTCTTATGCTGGTTTTGAAACCTTCTCTTCCCTTTGACTTTACTAAAGTATTGATCTCTGATAGCACTGGCTTTCTTTGTATTTTTTACTGTTCATATTATAGATGATTGGCCAAACGATAAACATTCAATATTTTTGCTGCTTCAGAAAATTATCGAGATCAATACCAGATACCATGAAAAACTTTCTGCTCTTCGAGCTCAACAAGCCAATAGACGAGAAGAGTTTCTTAGGAAGGAATCACAAGCCCGACTAAGCCAGTACCAACAAGCCAGCATGAACCACTACCCAAACACAGGTTTGCAGGATGCCCGTAGCTATAGTGCTGCAGCTGCTACAGGACCCATCAGTGCTGGAGAAACACATCGGGCTTATGCCAGCAGTCAATTTGAGTCCTACCGGGGACGACCTCAGTATGGTGGGGGTGGAAGAGCTCAAGGAAATGAGGGAAGGATTCCATACCCGGAGGGCCGTGTTTACAACAATGCTGGAGCCAGACATTACTAGTGATCTAATCGCCACTAGGCTGCCTACATCCGTAAAAACAAAACGAGTTCAATTCTGATCATTTACTCATCTTGTTGCTTTGATTATGGTTTAGTAATGTAGGATTGCTAATCACCCGACTTAAAAGGGATTTATAGTGCTTCAAGAACTTGCTATATGAAGGGTACATTTTGTGCCTAACGCTTCACGCTACGGGATTTATAGTGCTTCAAGAACTTGCTACATGAAGGGTACATTCTGTGCCTCACGCTTCCTATCTTCCTGCCAGTAATTTTGTGCATCTTGTTTAAATTGTCGGCTCCAATAGCCAAATCTTATATCATATACATTAACAGTAGGATAAATTGACATTTATTCATCTCCTGTTGCATGTCTTTCAGCAAACCCTCGTGTATAATTCAGTGTTCACTTCTAAGTTCCGTCGCCAGTAAACAAGGCAGGCAACAGCGAAGAATGTTAGAAAACAGATTACAAGTGAGATAAAACAATGATTATTGGAAATACCTGATGCTCAGAACAAGACACTTTCTTAAACAAATCGATATGATTTGCTGTTTATGTTACAAGTGATAGAGTACAGACTACAGAGAACATGGTCACAAGCAAATCTACCCAACTATAATCCTATGAGCTACCACTAGGGAGTACATGGTAAAATTTCTTAGGTTTGCTAAGAAGACAGTACAAACTTGCAACAACATAAGCATGCCTTTCCACCATCGTCCTGAGGGGAAAGGGACATCTCTGATGCCCGAGAAGGCAGGTTTACCTTTGTCACCAAAATATCAACGACATCTCTGGTGCCTGAAAAGGCAGGTTTATCTTTGCCACCAAAATATCAATGGGTGACCTCCGAAACAGCAAATCATGCTGCGTATCTCTCATCATTATAATTACTTGTCTGCCACCAATAACCAGGAAATTACACAACAAAACCAAACCTCAGTTCCTAGGTGTCTTTACCGCTTGCGCTGTGTTTTTTTGACCCTGACAAATTTTCTATGGGACTTGTCACCGCCACCTGTTCCCAATGAGAAGCTTCCTCCAGCATTAAACTCTAGACTACCTGAAGCCTGAGAAGATGGGTTCTGCGGAGCAGCAAGATTTGGTTGGCTTCCAAATTGAAAGGGATTTGCACTTGGTGGACCTGTAGAACCAAACTGATTCCCACCTGATGGAGCTGAAAAACCAAAAATTGAGCCAGGTGTAGCTGGTTGTTGGCTAAATACCGGAACTGAAGGCATGGTTGCCTGAACCATGTCCTCTGCCATGCTGTCCTCCATGCTCATTTGGTCATTATTACCAGATGAAGAACCAAATCCGAAGCTAGAATTTGGGGCACCAAACACAGACTGTGATGGAGTAGCAGATGCAGGTGAACTGAAGGGGAAAGGGGGAGCAGATGAGACGCTAGAGGTTGATCCAAACACCATGGGTGCACTGCTCGTACCAGTATTAGAAATTGCTCCAAAGGCAAACAACGTTGAGGAAGAGGATGGTGCGGAACTAAATCCAGTAGATTTCGGTGCCTGCCAGTTGGAACCAAATACAGCAGATGCGGGGCTCACCATGAAGCTAACAGAGCTGGACTCGGAAGCGGAAGAGTTAAGTCCAAACGTAGTACCAGAACTTAACAATTTAGATGTAGAAGAACCAAATGTGGAGCTGCCAGAAGAGAAGGCTGTATTCACATAACCAAATGTGGAGCTGCCAGAAGAGAAGCCTGAACTTGCAGTTGATGCAGGTGAACTAAATTGCGTAAGCATACTCTGTGTTGAAGTTGCCAAACCAGTTCCAGCAGCAGAAACCTGAGTAGTGCCAGCATTAAAAGGATTAAAACCCTGAGATTGATTAGTAGCAGCTGAAGTTGTGCTCCCAGCATTGAAGCTAAAAGGACCACTTCCTGTGCTCATTACTGCAGCCGTGGCATTCAAAACACTAATTTCTGTGCTTGTAACTGCAGGGGATGTACCACCAAAAACACTATTTTCTTTGCCAGTAACTGCAGTGGTATCACCAAAAATATTATTGCCCGCATTCGTGATTGCAGAAGTACCACCAAAAATGCTGCCAGTTGTGCTTGTCGTTGCAGAGGATGTGCTACTAGAAGCACTAAAGCTTGTTTCTTTGGTCTTGACTTCAGTTGTTTCAGTACTAATTGATGGTACTGTTAAGACTGAATTTGATGAGACAGTCCCAAATGTAAAAATAGATGCAGCTGTCAAGGTAGGTTCTGATGCCGATGCTGAAACAGAGAAGTTGCTATTCCCATTAGTGTTTGCAGCTGTGAAAGCAGTGGTAGTGGCATTAGTACTGCTGCTAGCAACACTGTTGGAAGGGAAGCTAGATGATTTTTGACCAGTAAGGTTACTGGAAAATAAAGGCAGACTGGGAGAGGAAAATGAAGATGGGGTAGTAGAAGCAAGAAATCCATTATTTAGACTTGAACTATTGGAGGTGATGCCAAATGAGAATAGGCTTCCATTCGATGAAATTGATGTCGAAGGCACGTTTTCAGCTGTCCTGAATGAGTTTCCAATCTTCAAACTGTCCTTATCATCACCTTTATCTAATCCGGGATCTCTTGTCACCACCTCAGTAGCACCAGTAGCAATAGGTGTATAGCTGGCATTAGGCAAGAGAGGAAAAGTAAATAAGCCATAAAAATTAAGATCTGGAGAAATTCAATGTCACAAAGTTTCACAAGAAATGCCATTGAATTGTTGACTTGGGAAAGGAAGAAAAGGAAACAACTGAACCAGATCAAGGTAACATCAATTTGGCATGCGCATTTATACCTGTGGTTCATCTTTTTCACAAGTTACAGCATGTGTGAACCCATAATTTCTGCATTTAGCCTCATAGCACATATATATTGGCTTCACACTTTAAAGACATGACAATGAAAACCTTAAAAAAAAATACTAAAATGCATCTACTGACCTGGAACCCTTTGGTCCAGCATCAGATGATACACCCAACTTTTGGCCAGATGGGTCACTCATGACTGAGGTAAGTGTGAGTGGTGCAGCTTTATCACCAGTTTTATTGCTAAAATGGAAAAATTGAGAGGTGCCATTTGGTTCCTTTGGCAAAGCAACCTTCTCAGCAGTGCTAAATATTTGGGGCAAAGCATTTGAATACTTTGGTAGGGCAACTTCATCAGATATTGATTCTAACTTGTTTACTGCAGCCTGCTTATCAGTAACGGTAGGCAGAGGTGCTGCTGGAGATATAAAGCCAATGCTCTTTTCCACAACCACAGACCCATCAACCCCTGCATTTTTCTTGTTCAATGTATAACTTGATGGGGAGTTGACTTCAGATTGGACCGGAGACTTCTCCACTACAACAGCCTCAGCAACACTGGTCTTCTTTTCTACCAATTTGGTATCGCCCTTTTCTCTCCCTTCAGCCAACATACCAGATGCAGTCCCATTAGGGGAGTCATCATCATCAAGCTCCAGAAAATCCTTCAAAAGAGGGAATAAAATATCACACACTAGTACTAGAATATAGAGCACACTGAATTTATAACCACATAGACGGTGGTCTGTGGCTGGTGCCACAGGTTATGTAGACCTCTATCAGTTCAATGTCACTGTAGTTTATTACGAATAACCACATTTGCCCATACATATATGTAAAAATAATTAAGTTGAATAATGCCAAAAAAAATTAAATCATATGTTATTATTTCATAACCTAATTTCAATTATCTTCAGTTTACATGTTGAAATAAATTGGATAAAAGATTTTAGTTGAAATTCTGAAAGAAATGTTGTATCTGTATTGAATGGCTAAATTATTGCAATTTATATTCTTGTTATTTTATGAACATATTATAATTCTAATTATAAACGAAGTTAAAAAAATCAAAACAATTAAAATCAAGACAATCATATACTCTCATACGATTACTTTCATTTTTTTATATTACATTATATTTCAGATAAGAAAAAAAAAAGCAGCTAATGGGTATAATCTCCATTTGTCCTGTGGCACAACAAATGATCACCATCACTCCAAATTTTCGGTTTAAATGTGGATATAATCAGATTAAAGGTTTAGTTGAAATTGTAGAAAAACTTTGTGGGTCTAATCTCCTTTTGTCCTGTGGCACAACAAATGATCACCATCACCCCAAATTTTTGGTTTAAATGTGGATATAATCAGATAAAAGGCTTAGTTGAATTTGTAGAAAAACTTCGTGTGCTCTAATGATCCTTGAATGGTTAAATTATTTGAAATTAAAATTTGAAGGACTGAAAATGCCTCTAACTGCATATGAAAGATAGGAGTGTAGTTTTTTCCCCTTCAATTGCTCCTACATGTAGGGTACTAAGATGAATATAATTACACTAGAAGTATTAGAATGTGAACACTCCATAGCAACCGAGAGTGAAGGAATGCCTTCCAACTAGAAAGGATAATAATAAATTATCTGAAAGCTGAAGGGCTATACTGAAATTGCAACCAAAAAATGGCAGATGGCTAACTTTCCCCCATTCCAGCATCCACAACCCAATTTTAATGTTTAATATGATGCCAGGATTTTCCAATCAAGATGACTACATTATCTATGTCTGGATTATCACTACAGAAATGTATGTTTGTTTATTAAGCATAAGGACAAACTAGTGCAACCAACTTTAGATGGGTGGAAGACAATGGATAGAACCACGGCAAAATGCAAACTACAAATCTCAGGTGCATGCTACAGTCACTTGGACTGCCCACTCAAACCTAATATTAGAGGGAAAGGAAAGACAAGATACCCAGTGTGGTGTAACTTGGTCTACCCAAGGTGATGTAACTCAGTCCACAGACAAGCAAAGGAAACTATTTTCTTAAAAAAAAGAGGTGATTCCAGATGTCATAAGTGAAGAAATATAGAGAAATTAAATAGGCTAAGGAGACTAGTAAAGGGCCTTCATCCAACTTAGGTGTGAATATCAAATATTACTTGATGTAACAAATACCTCTTGTGCGCTCATCTGGAAAGCCCTTTTCTTTTGTACAGGAGCCTGAGCAAAGGTGCTCATCACAGGAAAAGCTGATGTTTTGACCCCAGCCAAATCATTCTTCAATAAATTTGTGGTATCCATACCATTTCCTGCCAGGGCTGACTTGCCACAAGGAGCAATGGGTTTGCCAGGACCCTTTTCTTCAACTTTGTCTTGCTTTTGTGACACGGACTCTCTTGCATCAGGTAACAAGGTATCATGTTTCAACGCTAACTTGTTAGTGTCATTATCAATCTCTACAAAATCTGAAGAATCTAAATTCTCCAGGCTTCTAAGAGCTGGTCCTCGTAGCATGGATGGTGACAACTTGGCAGGAGACCTCTCCCTTGATGAGACCAACACATCCAGCTGATGCAATATCTTTGATGCCATCTCACTTGACTTGGAAGGAACAGGGGTAAAAGAAGTACCATGGACATTGTTATCCCCATTATCCTTTGATGGTTCACCCACTAAAAATGGCTTCTCTGTTGAGTGTAATTTTTGAGCAGCGTTAGAGCCGATACCAGCTCCACGAATAGAAAGGGTTCCAGAGGTAGGCAGAAGGTTTGATTTCTGACGAATTCTACGTATGGGACCAACAGATCCTATATCATTGTCCAGGACAGAACTCCTCCGTTTTAAAGCCTGAAAAAAGAAATAAACTAGTCTGGTCACATAATGCTAGAGAATTCTAAATGTCTATGAAAATGTTTTTGATTGATTTCAGCACTGATACCCCTTGTTTAGATCCAGAAAATCGGCTGCTCTCCAATGCATTCTGAGATGAAAATGAAGGTCCAGCGAAAGCATCACTTGATGTTCCAGCACCCTGGAAAATGATGGGGGGAAGTGTTGATAATAAAAATTTAAATCACAATTGCAAACAGAAACAGATTTTCATAGCATACCAACCTGGAGGCCAGTAGATGCACGAACTCTGGAATATGGTGTTCGAGCCATATTGTATATAGCAGATCTGCCTCTAGACCTTGGGGTCACAAAATAATTCTCAGGAACCCCAGGACAGCCAGAAGAACGTGGCGTGAGTGACATCATTGGTGATTTTGGAGTGAATGTAGGGTTGATCAGAGCTCTTGAATTATCACGAAATGGCTGGCAGCGTGATTCTAGCATTGATGGTGATACTTTTGAAGGCCTGCTGCCCATGTAAGCTTTTGCAAGCTCTGTAGGTGAAGCAGCATCCTCATTGAGGACCTGAATAAAATGTTTGCCATTAAATGTGATTCAGAGCCACAATGCAAAGCCACGGGTGGGTATGTAGATGCACATGAGTGCATGAATGCATGAATGCACACATCATGTATAGGCAAGTCCTTACATTCTCCATAAAACAAAAGCAATGGTGCAAAGCCACTAAATGTGAAACATGAGAAACAGCATAAAGTCATGTGACTATGTGCATGTGCAGGTTTGCATGTACAAATAAATGCTTGCATACACACATCATGTGTATGCACACTCTTACAGCTTCTATGAAACAAGAGAATCAACAAACCAACAAAAATGCTTGCAAGTGTCAGAACAATAGAGAAGAAGCATGAGAATTTCTCCTACACTTGAGCCGACAATAGGTGTTGAATTAATGCGGCTCTCAAACCCATTAGTAATGGGAACAGTCAATAACTCCTTTTTGCCTTCAGAGACCATGGCTCTTGAAGAAATCACTTCAGGTTTTTTCTCTTCATTACCAGTAGGAAAATCAGCAGTCCTGGATTGCAGCAGAGCTGTCAATCGATCAATCTCAGACCTGTAGAGAAATTAATAAAGAAAAAATTATGCCTTGCATCACCACATCATCATAATAAACACTTGAGAAAAATTATAAAATGCAGGAAAAAAAAGGGAATTATGACATCACAAATAAATATACAGATGAAGAAAGTTTCCACCATGCATGTCGCAGATGTTACAATTCATACATGACAGCTAATTCAAAGTCAGTGGATTTTAATTCAACAGTAACTTGCCTGGTAAAGGTCTTCTGCTTTAGAATTAATTCGAGTTCAGTGACCCCACCTCTATCCAAACTATTAATCAGACCACTGCTTGCATTGATGGCTTCTCTATGCACTTCAAGACAATCCTTTGAGAACAATTTTGCAAACAGAAAAAACATACGAGTCAAATTTGCAACACGTAAATCACGAAGTTAGTATACATGAACCACAACTGTAAACATATGAAAATATCGCTGACGCATGCATGAAAATGATGAAAATGAAGTTTTTATAATCCATAATAAAACGTATGCATTTAATTTACTCTTTGATCCATTAGAAAATTTCCTTATAGCTGATTTTAGATTCATTAAGGAAAAAAAAAGGAATATACAACTAGTCATGCCCTTTTCTCCCCATCACTCCTCTCTTTAATCCTGCAAATTTGATGGCAAATAATATTGCATGCATGAAACAGTTCAAAAAAGCTACAGAAAGTTCATGGCTTAACTAGTTGCAGTCTCAAAATGCACTAACATCAGTTATTAAAATTCCTTTGGTCCATTCTGTGTCAACTTAAAAAAAAAAACACAGAAGCAACGACATTCATGATCATGTAAGAATCTTAAAATAGATTTATTTATACATTATAAGGGAAAATACAGACATGTATTTTCTCCTCATAACTATTTCTACAACTCCCCAACATAAAAAGGATTATCAGCCAACAGAAGAATTTTTAAATAAACCTTGAATTTAGCGAGATTTGAACTTAGTCCCTCATATAACATTGACATTCTTCCCAAATTCCCAGTTCCGACAACATAACCCAAAGTCATAAATCCATCAAAATCAACTAAATAACCCAGTGATAATAGTTATAAGAAAAAAGCTGAATAGGAGCAAAAAGAAGCACGAAAGCAATTCACTTACTGTGGAAGACATTCCCTTTGGCTTATCCAATGCTCCCGGGTTCACGTCTGTTTAAAACAACACATGATACAAACAAATTCTCTCTTTAACAACAAAAAAAAATGAAATTTACTAACTGAAGTACAGTTAAGTAGGAGTGAGCATCGTTAATTACAAATTTTAACTAACTGTAACAAACAAGCCCTGACTCATTAAAGAGAGAATCCATGACTAACAATTCTGCTAGCCCAAAACAATAATTTCCAAAATTCACCGAATCAAAAACCTAACTACGCCAATTCTACAACAAGAATCAAGCAAAAAGAAACCAACATCAACAAAAAAAAAAACAATAACTCAACAAAATGAAAACATTTTCGAACCACAATCAAAAGAAACCCAACCTGTCTCCCGTTCCGTCTCCGGAGGCTGCGACCGAGGAGTCACCACCGGCGGCGCAGGGAGCCGGTTTCGAAAGACAGAGGCGAAAAGCCTGTGTGCGCTAGAAGCAATGAGTCTCTGAGCCGGATCCACTAATTTCGACAACCAACCATTACTAATCCCGCCAGGGTTTCGAATTGCCGTCGAAGGACGATCATACGGCGTCGCCTGCGTACTCCTTCGAAACGGCCGTTTTCGAAACTTCCCGTAGCCTCCTCGGTCTTCATACAGCCTCTCGTTACTTTCCCGACCCGCCGCCGTCGCCATTTAGAACCGCGAAATTAGGGTTAAGGTATGTGGAGAGAGAGAGAGAGAGGAAGAGTATGTTTTATTGTAGAGAGAGAAAAAAAAGGCCAAAAAGAAACCAGTTTAGGGTTTTTATTTATTTGTTGAAAAGAGGAGAAGGGGTGGGGGGTAGTATATCCGTATGTACTCATGCGTATTTTACACCCAGGTACGCCAACATTTTGTGTATTTGTTTAGTATTTTCCCTTTTTGGCTAGAGCAGCGCTAAAATGTCGTGTAGGTGTGGTTGGAAGGGTGACAAACGAAGCATGGATTGCGTGGTGGTATTTGAGGTCTAGTAAAGAAGTGGAGGAATTATGTTGATGAGATTGGTGATTTATTTGTTAAGGGATTGTGATTTTGATCTTGATTTTTTGTTTTTCTTTGTTTTTGGGTTTTTTATATATATAAAAAATACTGATTGATTGTGAGGTAAATAAAAAAAAACTGTGGTTGAGTATATTAGAATAATTACATGTGATGAATGGCCCATGATCATGTATGTAGTGGGAATGTACTTGTTACTATACTCCTTTTCACATGGGATCCTCCAATTAAGTGGTATACTCCCATGGGACTTTGATTTGTGAAGAGGTGCAGCTTGGAAGTGTGTGAGAACTAAGTACATGTCAAATTATAATCGAGAAAGTCCAAAACTTTTGTTCTTGGAAAAAAACAAGCAAAAAAAAAAAAAAGCGTCTCTTTTACGAGTTTAGTAATTTGGTAGGTGATGTTTTTGCTAATTCATTGAAAACATATATATATATATATTAACATTTTCGTATTGAAATCATCTTTATTTTTATTTTAAAATATAAAGTTTATTTATAAAAAAATCAAATAATATCTTAAAAAATCACATATAAACAAAACAGATAAAAAAATTATATTACAAAAAACATTAAAAACTCATGACTCAGATAAGATAAATCCATAAAAAAATTAAAAATATATTTTTTTTGTTTTTTAATATTAAAATATCAAAACTATACAAAATATCTAAAAAACATTAATTTTATATTTTTTACAAAACAATATAAAAAATAAAAGCTAACACATATACGTGCACCGCTAAAAATACGGAACCCAATTCAGGCGCCAACAATTTAGCTTGCTTGATGTTTTGCCTAACAAGCTTTCATGAAAATACATCACAAAATCTTGAATATCTACATCTGGGCAGATCACACCCCAGAAGTGAACTGGTTTGCCTATCTTCAAGTTCCATAGGGAAGAAAGGAAGATGAAGAAACAAATGAAAAAAAAGAAAACTAGAGGGGAATATGGCAAGGATGCTAAAACCCAGAAAAAATAATGCATTTCCAAGGACATCAAAATGCTCTGCCAACATATTTGGGTTCTGAAGAAGTAATAAATGGAGCATACAAGTTCTCTTTCCACCTCAAAACTAGTACAAAGATTGCAAGGTAGATTCCAATCGAAATGGAAAACCCAAATAAACACTGCCATGTAAACAGAGGGCCTGCTTGCTTCTCATAGTGGAGCTGCCATGCTCTTACTATACACCGTAGTCCCTCAAAAATAGAAGAGAGAATTAAACCGAACCTCGCCATTGCCTACGCAACTAAAGTTTGAGAGCTTCTCTAAAATTAATGCTGAAACTATGCTCCAGGCCCTTCCTTGCTGGACCTGCTACATTTCCCTTTTGCATCATGGCTACAAATTCGTTGTAATCTATGCGTCCATCCTGCAAAATTTACAAACAATCAATGACTACAAGCTCAGCATGCAATGCAGTTTTGCTAAGACAGAAAAGAAATTCGTTCACGAGCAACATATATGCAGTGTAAGATGCATTGCAGAAGCATTTTCAACACAGAATACAAATAGCATCCACTCTGCCAAATGTCTCTCAAAAACCATGAAAGAAAACCAATACGGATAAATTTCATATTCTTGATTGAAGATATTAGGGGACCAATTTGCATCCAGATAAGGTTTCTATAGGACCAGTAATGCCTCTGCAAATCAAATCATCATCATCTACTATATATTGCGTTTGAACATATCTTCTTCAAAGGTCACCAAGTAGACCATTCATCCCTTCCCATCTCTATTCTTGTCAAAACCTCTTCCCATCACTGGTTCAATTAAAATGAAATCTTCAAAAGAAAAAGGGAAAAAAACGATAAATATATCACTTACATTGTCCTGATCAACTTCTTTGATCATTTCTTCCAAGCGAACATCCTCAATTCCAAACTCCTCACAAGCTTGCTGAAGCTCATCTGGAGTAATGTAGCCACTTCCATCCTTATCAAAGTATGAGAAAGCTGCAAATAGATGATCCTGTCTCTCAATTTTGTTTAGATGAAGCGTGGCAGCAATGAACTCTCCATAATCAATTGTGCCACTATTGTCTACATCAGCCTGCAATTTAAGAGTATGCAATAAATTAAAGAAGGTTTTTAGACATTAAAGTATCTCCCATACTTTAGATTTTTGTGAAATTTGCGATCATAATCTAACTCTTCTTCAAGCAATGAAGTACCCCACATCTAGACCTAAATCACTCGGAAGGAATGAAATAAGTCACTGCAATACCTTTTGTTGGGCTGGCAGTATAAAAGTTAACAGTTATTTTCATGAAATACATTGAGTTCACATTTAGAATATCTCCCCTACAAGTTCATTTCTTGTCAATACATATAGTTCCTTTCCTAGCTTAAAGATGGAATCAGGACTTCCTATGATACTCACTGCTTGCATCAGATCATAAATTTCAGATTCCTTAAGATTAGCTCCAACTCTTTTCAATCCAGCCTTGAGTTCTTCAAAAGTGATTTGACCACTGCCATCAGAGTCTAACATCTTGAACATCTCCTTTAAGCCAGCTATTTCTTCTTCAGATAGCGTCTCTGCAATGATCTGCAAGAGGAAAAAGACAAATCCATCATCTACATCTTCAGAAACTTCTACTTTAAATTCCTGCACTTAAATAATGCGACATCTGAATAAAGTTATTTTAATTTCAGATTCTAAGCATTTCCAGAATATATGATATTCAAATGCTTCAAGGTTCATTACAACATCATGTCTTGCTCATGTGGAGACTTACTCCAAGACCCATTCTCGAGCCTGAGACTTACTCTAAGAGCCATTTTCTTTAGCTTATTCATAGCAGAAAATTGCTTCAGACGACTCAATACAGCTGAATCCAGAGGCTTGTCAGGAGCTACACCATCTTCTTGCACCCAAGGATGGCCTGCAAGAAGTTTGACCCACACATCACAGATGAAAAGGAATCCTACTGGATAAAAAATGAGGAGGTCTTGATTTCATATTAAGATTTTCTAACATGAAATGAAAGAGAAACAGAAAAACCACCCAACCTGAGCTTTCCAAAGAAGTCTGGAAAAAAGCAAGAGGTTCGGTTGCTATTTTTTAAAATAATGCGCTCTGTTCTTTTCTCTCTCTAGCACTTTTGCTTGATTATAAGAATCTATCAACACTGCAGATAACCTGGGGAGATGTGGCTCAATGACTCTGGCACTGTTTGGAATTGTGTTCCAAAAGGTGTTTCATGAAAATTTATTTATTTTGCTTAAAATTATTTTTTTATATTTTCAAGTCCTTTTAATGTGCCAATGTCAAAAATGATTTTAAAAAATAAAATAAAAATTATTTTGATGCATTTCCCAGTGAAAAACACTTTGATCACATCAATACAAGTCTCGTCAAGGATTTAAAGATCATGTACAACCATTCTGAACACATGTTTACCCTTCATTCAAAAGATAAGAAACCCATGTAAAGAGACTGCCATTTGGCATGATATAGTAATAGTCTGACATGTCATGCATTGAAACTCAGAAAAACCAATTTTCTCATATGGTTAATTTGTCAGTCTTGAGCATTTCATTTCTATTTTTATTCAGGCAATAATCCAATGTAACTACCCGTAAATCAAGAGATAAGAAAAAAGGAATAATCAAGACTCACACAGAACTTCATGTGCCGTTAAACGCCTTCTGGGGTCTCGAACAAGCATTCTCCTCACTAAATCCTTGGCACTTTCAGATATACTAGGCCAAGGGTCTGATGAAAAGTCAAGATCACCATGCAGGACCTGTTCAAATATCTCCTGCTCGGTCTCTGGATAACCGTGACAAGCAAGATGAAACAAGAGAGGGTGGAAATTCTATTAAGTTAAATTTGGATCACATTTAGACCAACTGCAGAAACAACCGAATTTAGGAAGCTAGTAAATGACAAAGTTCTCACCAGCCCAAAAGGGAGGAACTCCACTTAACAAAATGTAAATGATGACTCCGGCACTCCAAACATCTGCTTCAGGACCATAACGCTTTTTCAGAACCTCAGGAGCAACATAGTACGGACTCCCAACCACATCGTGAAATCTCTCCCCTGGAAAGAGAACCGTCAATTTTCAAGTAGAATCTTTAAGGCAAATTTATGGCTTCTTACGCAAGGTGTTGCAGTATATTTGTCCGAGGAAACATATGATTATAGAATTGAGAAGCAAGTTGTCAAATAAAAAAAAATGGTAATGAAAATAACACAAGATCAATTCCAGTAGATGCTGAAAGTACAATAAGAACATACCTGGCTTGAAGAATATTGACAAACCGAAGTCAATTGTTTTTAGAAGTGAGTCCTCTTTGTGGTTAACAAACAGAAAATTCTCTGGTTTGAGGTCTCGATGCATCACACCCAGTGAATGACAAGCTTCAACCACTCCAACTATAGTTCGAGTAAGCTCAGCTGCCTTTCTTTCGGTATAATGCCCGCGCTTAATAATCCTATCAAAGAGCTCACCACCAGCACATAACTCCATAACAACATGAACCGCCATCGCATCCTCATAAGCCCCTTTAATAGATATAACATTTGGGTGGCCAGCCAAATGGTGCATTATCGAGATTTCCCTTCTTACATCCTCAACATCCTCATCAGTTAACAACTTCCTCTTAGCAATCGATTTGCATGCAAATTCTTTCTTTGTCGCTTTCTCCACGCATAGAAATGTTGTCCCAAATTGACCTTGTCCTAGTTTCTTTCCCAAACTAAAGAACTCTTTCAGATTACCAGCTTTAGTTTTTAAAACAGATTCAGTTCTAAGCCCAGCACTAGACACCCTTTTCACTTGAGGGGGCTTCTTAGGCTTTGCAGGCTCATCAGATTTTTCCGATTTCTCTGGTGCTTCGGGTTTTGGGATGGTCACCTGTTCCGGGGGTTTGCTCTGAACTGGCAAAGGCGGTTCAGATTCTCTAGATACTGCCTCAAGTTCATGGACAGACTCTCCATTAGTCTGAGACATTGAATCATCTGGCGATCGAGTCCGCCACATTGCAGCGGATACAGATTGGAAAAAACCATTCGTGGAAATGCTCGGTCCTACACAAGTATTACCCATCTATCCCGCACTCAATCACTTCTAACCACCCCAACTAATCTCAACATCAAGATCTAGTCCCACAGGCTCTACCAACACAACACAACTGATTTGAACTTCAAATTACTAACAATATGATCACTATGAAAACTCGAACACCATCCGCTTATGGAAAAATATCAGCAAATAGAATCAAAAGTCAACCAACTATCACAAAAATTCTTGAAATTATCTGCTTTTCTAAAACATCTGTCGAATTGCAAATACAAAACGATTGACCTTTAGTCGACAAATCACAGCAAATACCAGAGTTTTTCAGCAAAATACAACAAATAAAGAATCCCAGAACAGCCAAACCTTCTTGATCAGTGACTAAATCCACTATTAGTACAACAGCAAACAAAAACACCAACTTAATAGATCGAGGAATAATGACCAACAAAGAAAAACTCAAGATTCAACGATCCAAAAAACAGTAACAAATGAACAAAACGAGCCCTGCCCTTGAAAACAAATTGGGTAGAAAAACAGAAAGTCAAGATCTTGATCAAAGTTAAAGCATGGCAATTGGTTTACCAGGTCTGTTCGCTGCAAATTCAAGAAGAAAGAAAGGGGCGACTTGTTTTTGGTGGGTTATGAATGTCTTTTCTCAGTTGCTTTTGGCATGTGATGGTACGTGCACAGGCTTGCCTTTTCTTCATGGATAAATTTTGCTGGTGTGGTTGTATCAAACCATAATAAAATAAGCAGACAGGTATGTGTGTACTGTTGAGTTGTGCTAGAGGTTTGAACCATCGGCTAAAAACGCGTAGTGTTGGTGGCGGATTTTCCAATCCCGACCTTTGCGCTTGATTGTTTTTTCAACTACGGCTTGTTGGGTCCCACGTTAACTTCAGTTTTGATGGATCGGGGTGTTTGTATCTGTGTTTCAAACCATTTTATAGTGTGTTTTTTTTTATTGAATTATTAAATTAATTTTTTTAATAATATTCACAAGCTAATATTAAAAATTTTAAAAAAATATATAAAAAACAACATAAGACGCCGAATATTAATCCTATAGAATTTTTAGCCGGCTCTATAAATAATTAATCATGTTTAGAAGCTTTTTTGTTTTTTTCCCCTAACGGCATTTCTTTAAAATTCTATTATTTTTTAGCTTTAAATTAGTTTTTTCTTGGTATTTTGATATATTAATGTTAGAGATAATCTTTTTAAAAAAATTAATAATATTATTTTAATATATTTTTAAATAATTGTTTTTTAAAATAATCCTTATTAATATTATTTTAATATATTTTTAAACAATTTTTTTTTTAAATAATCCTTGTGATATCATCCATCATGATTACATCCATGTATACATTCTCGCAAAGGTATTTATTTCATGGACTGACTTCGTAGAAAATATTAGATGGATGAAGAATGAAAAAATCAAATCCAGATTCATGAAAAAATGATAAGAACATTTTTATACTGGCTAAGAAATATAATCTACATTTCTTGAAACTCTAGTTTTAAATTTTAGAGCTGGTATTTGTGATCTTTCTTTATGACCCACCGATCCAAGCTAACACCTCTTCCTCGGATGGAATTCCTCTGTTTATGGCTTAGAATATGCTGCTGTGTTTTTTGTCAACCAGGATTTAGTTCGATTCCAAGAAGACAGGTTTAGCCATTTTGGAGTTTCTTCGAGCTTATGCCTGGGTTGAGCTACGATCTTGTACGCCTGCCTAGGCTCATGTTTCTTTTGATGCTGGGCTTATTTCAGGACCCAATTTTGTAACCTTAAATTGCAAGTAAAACAAAAAACCTTATTTTGCCTTTTGGTAATAATTCCCATGCACAGAATCACTTGTTGAATTAGGTCTTCCTTTTCTGTCCCCCCCCTCTTCTTAACAGAATAGGAAACTTGGCTTGCAAGGTACACGAGTTCCCATATCGAGCATTGTCCATTCCATTAACACAATAGCACAGTTCTAGCGTATATATCCTTCATTAATCACCAAACCTAATCTCTTGCAATAATTCAAGCTTGTTGGGGCTACGTTTCTTTCTCAGGCAAACCAGTTTTTTCAATGGCAGAAGATCATGGTAGAAGCAAAATCTCCAACATCCAAGAGTGGTTATGTAGCCTCGAATACGAGGCATGTCTAGCTATAGTCTTTCTTGCAGTATTCCTAGCCATGGTTTTTATGCCATGGTACAACAATTTGCAGCCCCCCTTGATTAGTTTTTCAGGGCAGGTGAAATTCCTTCTCCCAATCATGCTATTGCTCCTATACAAACTAGTGCTCTGGCTATTGCCAGTCGTCGAAGGCCATGGCAGAGAGCAGAACGTTTGGTTTGGTAGCTTGGTCGAGGGTTGCAGCATGTTGGCCGGCGCTGGTTTGATAATGCTAATTTATGTTCTTGGGAGCCTGCAGTCAACCATACATGATACCTATGGCTGGCCATTTTAAGGGAGTTAGGTGATATGCGAATTTACAATTATAATTGATCAATATATTCTCATTCCTTACAACATGTTTGTGTTTGGTTAGTGAGTAGCTTAATTATGGAAAAATATATCAACAAATAGAATCAAGATTCAAGCAACTACCACGAAAACTCTTGAAAGTAAATATTTTTTTATGGGATGGCTAGTGTCGTTTAATTTGTTACATGTTCTTGTTATTAAGTCTCTTCTTCTTTTAATCGCATGTTGGTAATTTATGGGCCGTGCTTAATATTGGGATAAATAATTAAGAAAGAACCATACATGCTGGTTTTTTTTTTAAAAAATAAATTTTAATAAAGGCTTGAACTAACCACTAAGTTAACTAACTTTATCCGAGTTAACTTATAATTAGTTTAATTTAAAATACAGCCAGATTAAATCCCGGACCAACAAGGTGGTTTTGATGCCAAATGTCAGGGATCTCATCGGGTATGAAAGTGGACTGTGGGTTAAATTATGGGCCACATGGAGATGGTAATCGGCCCATTATGCAACTCGGACCAGTCCGTGTTCATTACTTCTTCGAGACTAGGCCCATTGAGTTCAAATGAAACAGAGCTTATACAACAGTAACTTATATATTTTAACGCCACCTTCCGTCAAACATTGGAAACAGACAGAAAAAAAGAATGAAAACATGTTATTGGCTTGTGGTCAGATCAAATCTCTCGCTCACCCCGTCCATTGGATTTGACGTTTTTGGTTTGATTGTTATTGTTTTGTCTGTCAGAACGCTCCAAGATAGTTTACCTGACAACTTGAAATCCTCCCCCCAAGTGGGGGACACTGCAAATAAATATCAAAGGGGCCCAGATTGAATTAGGGCGGAGGGAAAAGTTTCTCTCTTCCAGAGGATAATGCTCTTTTTAAAAAATAATTATTATTTTTAAAATATTTTTTATTTCAAAATATATTAAAATAATATTTTTTTATTTCTGAAAAATTATTTTTTACACTTTCATTTCAAAACAATCTAAAAATAAAAAAATAATTTTAAATAAAAAATAAAAGGATCTAAAAATAAAATAAAAAATAAAAAATTACTACAGCCACATTTCTAATAGACAGCTCTTTCATGGCCTTCTCGTCAACATAAAAGGAGTTACCATCAAGAAGCCATGCAGTGCTTTCAGCTGTGTTGTAAATTGTAATTAGTGATCAGATCTGGTTTGATCTAGACCGCATCAACAGCAATTAAAAAAGCAATAAAGAACAAAAGCTTGTCAGCAAGTAAAGAAAAGCAGGTGTGGCCTGGTTGGTATACTTGTTGTTGGACTGGAATTCAAACAATTATAAAACCAAGATAACTAAACAAAGAAAGGCAAATCTTAAAAATAAAATACATCGAATTTACCGAGCGGTGTTGAATTTGCCATTAAACAAGATTTTACATCATTTCCATCATTCCACAACTTTGATTTACAAGGCCATTTGTTATAATTCTCCAACACAAAAATAAATAAATAACTCGATGGTATTTAATTTAAAATCTAAATCAAGTCGAATTAAAAAATAATTTTATTTTTATTTTTTTAACAAAACAATACAATTTTGTTATTAAAACATCTAAGGTAGCATTATTTTTGTCAAAGAATAATCTCAACCCAATAATTTAAGTCGTTAGGTAAGGTCCTAAGATATGATTTATATTATTCTTTAACACACTCCCTCAAGTAAAAATTCTTTGGACCTGAAACTTGAACATGTTTTATATTACCTTGTACTTAATTTTTACCAAATAAATAGAAATTATAAGATTTAAACTCATGATCGCTTAATCATCAAAATTCTGATACCATGTTAAAGGATTATCTAAATCCAATAACTTAAACGGTTAAATAAGACATCAATATATAATTTATATTATTTTTTAATAATTTTAAAATATTTTTAAAATTTGATTGATTCATTAATTTATAACTCGATCTTCGAGTCTCATAGCTTGCCAACAAGTGTTGAGTTCTTTGTAAATGAATTTTATATTCTTAAAAAAAAAAAAACCATTTCTATGGAATTTATGTGAATCCCGCAAGAAATAGCCAATCACGCCTTCGAATCAAACACCCATTAGATCAGCACGTTCAATCTACAATCTAGACCTCATGCTTGGCCGATCCCCACATCGAGCCTTGTAACTTGCCAAGAAGTGTTGAGTTCTCTATAGAAAATACCATTTCAATGGAATTTTTGAAACTCGAGGGATAAAAATAATAGAAAACCAGGAACCACCGTGTATTGTTAGGAATCAGAGAAACTTCAGAGAAATTGCTCTCTCTCTCTGGTCTCAGGTCTTCAAAGAGGGGCCAAAAAAAAAAAAATGAATCGAAGACAGATGGACGTTTGAATTGGAGATGGCTAGTCAAATGAAGACAAACCCTTTAATTATCGTTCATCGAATATCTCCACGCCGGCTCACCAGCAGACCTTCTAGAAGCACAAGTCATGTTCTTTTTCTATCTAGATTGGAGACTTTTCCTTCTTTTATTTATACATGTCCCCCGTCCTTTGATGGAGCCATGTACAGGTCATCCCAGTCATGCACGGTTTGTGTGCTGCTGGCTTCCTTCTCTCAATTATTTCCAGGACAGGTATATAATTTATTTAATCCACGCAAAAATCATACGATTATGAGTCGTGATTAAACCTGTGTTGTTGAAATTACTAGGCTGACCCGATAAGTACCATGTTTTAAATTAAATTAAGTGTAAATTAAGATAGTCGAGTTTGATTTATATTTTCAAAATCCATTTTTTTTTAAAAATTATTTTATTTTATTTTATTTTTTTAATCCCAAGACAATATTTTAGGTTAGTTTGTTCAGCATTGGATCCCGGTTGGTTCTTAGGTAAATCCAAAATAGTAACATGTTAGTTGGTTTTAATTTCTAAAATGGTGACGTGCGCGGATTTTTGACACTTGATATTTGTCCTCCTCCCAGGAACGTACACTTGATATACACAACAATATTCCAATTAAAAAAGAAAAAGAAAAAAAAGAGAGATTACTTAAACGACAAGAAATTTATTCACACTTGACATGCCTTTCTCCATGCAAAGTTCACACACAAAGCACTGAGAAAATCATCATCTTTATTCTTTGCGTGTTATGCAACAAACTGAAATATAAATTTGTAGAAATATTTTTCAATTCAAATTATATATATGTTTCAATTTTTTTATATCAACATATTAAAATTATAAAAAATATCAATTTAATATATTTTAAAAAACATGTAAAACCAAAAAAATAAAAAATTCCTAGTTATTTTTTTTATTATAATCTAAGGTTAGCAAGCCAAGTTATTTAGGGGTTGGGGGTGTCTGCGAA